TCATTGCATCCTAAGTTCTATTCCATTGGTCAATATGTCTGTTTTTGTGCCAGTATCATGGTATTTTTATTATTGTAGCTTTGTAGTATAACTTGAAATCCAAGATTGTAATGGCTTCTGATTTGTTCTTTTTTGCTCAGGACTGCTTTGGTTATTCTGGGTATCTTCTGGTTCCATATAAATTTTAGTATTGTTTTTTTCTTAGTTCTATGAAGATTGTCACTGGTACTTTTTTGGGGGGGGATTGCATTAAATCTTATATCATTGTTGGTAATATGGCCATTTTGACAATATTCCTTCTGCCTATCAGGAATAGGAGATTTTGTTTCATTTTCTAATGTTCTTGTCAATCCCCTTTTTCTCACAGTACTATACTTTTCATTATAGAGGTCTTTCACTTCCTTGGTTAGGATAATTTCTAGGTATTTAATGTTTTTGAAGCTACTCTGAGTGGGACTGTTTTCTTAATTTCTTTCTTGGTGGGTTCATTGTTGGTGTACAGGAAACTGTTGACTATTGTGTGTTGGTTTGTATTCTGTCACTCTGCTGAATTTACTGGTTTTAAGAGTCCTCTGGTTAAGTTTTTGGGTTTTGTGTGCAAAAGAGCTTGTCTTCTACAAAGTAAGATAATGTGGCTTCTTTCCATCCAATTCATATTACATTTATTTCTTTCTCTTGCCTGATTTCTTTGGCTAAATATTCAAGTAGCATTTTGGATAGCTATGGTAAGAATGAACTTATTCCCAATTTTAGGGGAAATGCTTTCATTTTTCTGCATTTACTATGATACTGGTAGTACCTGATAAAATGGCTTTTATTAGTTTAAGATAAGATCTTCGTATACTTATTTTTTTTTTTTTTTGGTACTGGGGATCGAACTCAGGTCCTTCCTCTTGCAAGGCAGCCAGTGGACCACTGAGCTAAACCCCTGGCCCTGTATACCTATTTTTATCAAAGCTTTTTTATTATGAATGGAAGTTGGATTTTGTTAAAGGCTTTTCCTGCATCTATTGTTATGTGGTGTATTATACTTATTGATTTGTGTATTTTGAATCATTCTTGCATTACTGAGATCAAGCTTAGCTATGATGTATAATCTTTCTGATGATTTGCTGCCTTATATTTTCAAGTGTCTAATTGAAGATTTTTCCATTTATATTCACTAAGAAAATTGGCTGATAATTTTCATTTTTGTTGTGTACTTGTTGGTTTTTGTATCAGGGTAATCCTACCTTGAAGGAATGAGTTTGGCAGTGTTCTTTTCTCTCAGTTTCATGGGCAAATCTGAGGAGTATTGGCAAAGTCTTCCTAAAAGTTCTGGTAAAATTCAGTGGCAAATACATCAGATTCTATGCTTCTCTTAGTTGGTAGGTTTTTATTGCTGCTTCTATTTCATTGCCTGTTTCCAATTTATTGGAAAATAAGTTTTCAAAATAATTTCTTATAATCCTCTGGTTTTCAGAAGTGTTCCTTGTGATTTTGCTTTTCTGATTTCTAATTCATTAGTATGACTCCTTCTTTTGGTAAGTTTAGGTAAGGGTTTATTAATCTCGCTTACTCTTTCAAAGAACTGACTCTTTGACTCATTGATCCTTTGTATTTTTTTATCTTAATTTCATTAATTTGCCTTCTTATCATTATAATTACTTTTTTATATAAGCTTGGATTTGGATTGGTCTTGTTTTTCTTGGGCCTTGTTATACATCACTAAGTTATTTCCAATCTGCCGGTCCATGTTTTTGATTGAAGAGTTAAGATCATTTACATTGAGTATTATTACTTAAAGTTATTTACTGAATCCTGTCCTTGTATTATTTTTTTTGAGCTCATTCTTTTCTTTTCTTTTATTTATTTTTGGTACTGGGGATCGAACTCAGGACCTTGCACTTGCAAGGTAGACAATGTGCCACTGAGCTAAATCCCGGCCCTCATTCTTTTATTTTTTTTCCTTTTGTTTAATGACTCTTCCAGTTGGATATATTATTTTCTTTGGGCTCTTTGATGTTGTCCTCACTGTCTCTAGCATTTCTTCAAGTATTTTCTGCAATGCTGGTTTGCTGGTCAGGAATTTCTTTAGTCTATTTGCCAAAGAAATTCTTAATTTCTCTGTCAGTTCTGAAGGATTAGTTTTGTGGGATATAGTAATCTGGGTTGGAAACTGTTCTTTCTCAGGAATTGAAAAATTTTGCCCAGAGCTCTCCTGGCCTTTGTTCGTGTTGACAAATCTGTTGTTATTTTGCTAGGTCTGCCTTTATAAGTTGCTTGATGATTTTCTCTAATAGGTTTTCATATTCTGCTTTTATCCTGAATTTCTCAGATTTTTGACTATGATGTATTGTGGAGGAATAATTTTCTGGTCATAACTATTTGGAGTTTTATATGCCTCACTCAGTTGTTGAATTCTTTCCTTTGATTTTGAAAATTTTTTGCTATGACTTCTGTGAATAATTTTTTTAGCACTTTGGTGCCATCTTTTAGTGCAGTGATAGTGAACCTTTCAGAGACTAGACCAGACTGCAACCCAAAACCCACTTATTTACTGCAAAGTGCCAACACTGCAACTAAACTTGAACACTGAGCTTTTAGTTTAGAAAAATACAGCTCATACATTAACATCTTTAGCTCAGTGGTTCTGGTGCCTGCCTTGTAAGTGCAAGGTCCCAAGTTCAATCCCCGGTACCAAAAAAAAGAAAAGAAAAGAAAAACAAATAACTTGCAAACCATAGGTTCACCTGCACTGTAACCTTTCAGTAAGTCTTACACTGGCTTTTGTGAGTTGTATCGTAGTTTTGGATTCAATGTGCTTTGATGTCTTACTGTTTTTAGAGTATAACTGAATACATGGTCTACTACATGATCCTTGTCTTCAGGTTCTGACTGTCTCCCTTCAGATTGGTCATTTTTGTTGCCCATATTTCAACTGCAATGTTCATATAAAGGATTTCTGTTTGATTTCTTTTCATAATCTATAATTCTTCACAAAAGTGGTCATTCATATTGTGCATTGCCTTCCTTAATGCAATAAGCTCTTTGTTTGTGTCTTCTTTAACCTTGAACATATTATTAATTAGATCTTTGATTTACTTATGTCCTCTTTAAGCTCACTAAACATCTTTTCCATTTGCTTATTTGTTTATCCCTTGAGCTCATCAAAGATTTTAACCATGGGGATTTTGAGTTCTTTACTTCAAACTTCCTCCACTTTAGTGCCCAAAATATCAACTTTTGGGGAGTTAAGAGGTTTTGGAAGTATCTTGCTGCTTTGTTTTCTTATGTTTCTATTGTCTTTTATGCTGAGGGTTGGAGATCATTTAGAGTAGAAAACCTGCCACTGATGCAGAGATTTCTTTAATTAATCTATATTTCCCTGTGATGTGGAATTGAAAAACTTTGCCTGTGGTGATCTTGACTTTCACTGTTTTGATGATCTTGCACCTATTCAACATACTCAACGTAATAGGATCAGTCTTGTCCACTGCATTGGAATGATTATATCAGTATCTACAGAACCAAACATGGATCAGCCATAGAATTTAAAGCTTGTACTACAATTCCACACTTTTTGTCTTCAGTCAGGAAGTCAGTGAGATTGTACTGATGACAAGACAGCTGGGGTGTAGAGGATGAGGGAAGGATAGAGATAGTAGAAAAGAAAGAAAATGGTTCAAAAAGAAGGGAAGAATAAAAAAGAGATAACAGCAAACAAAAGAAAGAAAGAAAGAAAACTTTGAGGATATTTTTATATATATGCAATGGGGGGGCGTTGGGAGTTGTCGGGATGGGACAAAAGAAGAAGGAGGGAAGTATAATTGGAGATCGGGGGAAGCTGTAAGAAGGTCAGAACCTATTAATATGCTGATGGGATGTTTGTGTTTGAATCTTCCATGCACAATTTTTGATGAGAGTTAACCTGACATGATCATGAAAAGATCCATCTAAACCAAAGCACTAATTAATTCCTACTCTCCATTTCACATTTGTCAATACCTTACATCCATGTACCAGATAAAAGGAGAAAAAGAAAAGAAAAAATAAATAAAACATATACATATACAAAAACACCAAGGAGTTCTCTCAGTTCTATTTACAATTCAGTCTGAATTTCACCAGTGCGTTCTTCCTCCTTAGCTAAAAAGGGGAGAGACCTTGTCTTGTAGCAATTGTGAGAGGTTGAGCCTCAATCTTCCGTGGTTGCAATTAGGTGGTTGTTGCATCAACTGGTGCTTAAGCTGGTTCCCCTCCCGGCATTTGTTCTCCTATCTGTTATTAAGTGAAAGGGCTGGGGGATCTGGACAGATGGCCAAGCCTGCTTCTTATTCCCTCTGCATGCACAGCTGTGTAGGTTTCAGCTCCATTTCTGTGAGCATGACTAGTCAGATTTTGCCTCTGTGTCATTATGATCAGAAGCCTTCAATTGTATGGGGAGGGGCACAGTGGGATTGTTCAAGCACAGTTTTCTTCTGATCTCTGAAGGTGCTTCCCCTATCTCTGTCCCCTTCTCTCTGTGATAATCCTTGAGGTTGTTTATGTCTATTCTCTCTACACCTCTCTTGGTGAACATATTGTTCAACACCTTCTGTTCACCTCTGGCTTTCACTCCATGCCAAACTGTCTGTCTCTACAACTCAAAAGATCTCCAACCAGCCTGAAAATTCAGTGGCATTTAGGGCTTTCCAGAAGAGGATCCTTCTGCTGGGCATTCAGTAGGATTTGGGGGCCGATGGGAGGGAGCTCACATGGTTTCTGAGCTCAGCAGCTTTCGGTGGGCAGTGAGTTGATGTCACATGCACAGTAAGCTCTGCAGCATTTTCATGGTGTGCTGCAGGTGGGATGCCATTCAGGCACAGAGCTTAGTGGCACTAGGGGCAGTGGAGGGAGAGTGCCCACTCTGGCCCTGCTCCTGTCTTCTTAACCCCCAGATCATGCAGGACACAAACTGCTACAAGCTCCTTGACTCACCATCCCACAGATCTGTCAATGTCCTTGTTCCTTTCTGTCTCTAGAGCTTACTGGGATGGAAGGGTACCTGCCTTATTGAGTGGGCACCAAGCAAGTGAATAGCGATGCCAGGTAAGTCAGCGATAGGCTGATTGGGGCTGGCATTTTTGATCTCTAGGTTTCAAGGCTGATTATTTTCCAGGTAGGTCCTATTTTTTGGAAAAGAGGTTATTAATGTGTCTTTGAGTATTTTCCACGTGGTAGATCCTTATGAAACTTTGCTTATGAATAATAATATAATCTAATACAATAACATATTACATCATTGTTAGGGATTCATCATATGGGGATAGAGCCCAGGCAACATAATTTAACTTCATGTTGATGCCTAACCTTGGTCTTTCTCCAACTGACATAAGAATTATCTAAGTCCCTAGAGGTAATGGATTTTGAGAAGTAATGGAGTTTTAGACATTTTTGTCAGATGAAATTGTAAGACTCTCTAGCCTGCAGAATTGCTGTGGACCCTTAGCACAAGCATAACAAACCCTAGATAATCCAATTTTGGCTGTCATCTATAATTTTACCTCCTATTTTAATTCTTTCAGCCACCAACAAGCTTGTAAGTGTGGGGTCCCCTTCCCCCCTTGGTATCCTGACACTGTTTAATTTATTCTACAAAGCTAAAGTCAAATTTTCTGTCCTTTGAGAAGAGTTTTAAAGCAACTCGGGTGAAAGAACATTATTACCCTGGTAACCACTTCCTCCCCATATCTTGTAGGTAATTCCAGCAGAGAATAAGATATGCTTGGCTTTCATGTGTACCTTCATATAGGACTTGGCTCTTTGAACTCAGGTATCGTGTTTCATTTGTCGTATGAGTACACTTCTTGTTGAACTTTCCAGCACATAATGTATCTTGCTCAAAAACAAGTTATTGAATGAATACTTCAGATCTATCTTAGTGTGCATGAATATTTGTCCCTTTATTAAAGGTTCTACTATGGAATTTATTTTTTTGGGGGGGCACTGGGGATTGAACTCAGGACCTTGCGCTTGTGAGGCAGGCGGTAGAACCACTGAGCTAAATCCCTGACCCCTTGGAATTGATTTTTGAATATGAGTGATGTTATGGGGTAGTTGAGGTTAAAAGAGATCACAGAAGTGGAGACTTAATCCAGCATGACTGGTTTCTTTAGAAAAAGAGGAGGAAACACCAGGGATGAATGGACAAGGATCCACCACCATGGGAAGACACAGCAAGAAGGCAGTTGCCTCAAGCCATGGAACAAGGCCTTAGGAGGAATCATACCTGCGCCCCCCTTGATGCTGAACTTCTGGCTAAGGCACCCAGTCTGTGATGTTTTGTTTTGACAGCTCAAGTGGACACATACAGGTAATGTGGATAACACCCTTCCCTCACTTTTCCCTTGCTATATGGAATTCTAACTATATTTATTTTAAGTCTTAGCTGATGATCTTGCTTTCTGCCTTACTGAGAAAGTAGAAGAAATAAGTCTCCACCACATGTCCATTGACCTAATTACTCTTATCCGTGCTTGGGTTCTCTGGCTACTCTTCTGTTAGGAGGAAAGAACTGGATGTTCCTTCCCACAGGTGCATCTGGCTTCTATTCTCCCACCTCTTTGTCCATCTCAGATGGGATCACTCCAAGCAGCATAAAGGCATGCTAAATATATCTCACTTTGAAAAATATTCCTTCACTTTCATGACAGATATATTGGTCATTTTCACAAAATTTATTTCTTTTCTCTTATTACCTATACAAAGTAGGAATCATTTACCTTGTCCCATGAGATGAGAATGTGAGGTACACAGAGCTAATGGTGTATAAGACATAGGTTTATACTCATATTCTCTGACTCCAAAGACAGTGCTAATTTGAGAAGGTAACCAAGTGTATCCAATAATATCCAAAGAAGAACACACACTCAACATGAATACAGAGGATTCTTTCTTATCTGTTTGAAGATACCAAGAGACTGTGATGCCCACTCCTTGATCAGACTACGATATTTAAAAATTAAAGAATTGGACATATTCCCATTAAACTTTAACTCTTCTGTATTCTATGATGCCAATTAGAAAGTGCCTGATAGGTGAGGTTACAAATAACTGAACCTCAGAAAAGTTGTGGGTTACTATATTTTCAGTCTACAGCTTTTAAATTCTTGTAACATCCTATAAGTGAAGATGAGGTCAGGATGGGTAGTATACACAGTTTTATTTTGCATCAAAAATGTCTGAATGCTCACAGGCCAGAGGGACTTGGATGCAGGAAAGCCTTTGATCATGTCCTTCTTTAGGGTAGTGCAAAACTCTGGGCTACACTCTGTTGTATCCCTATAGGCTGCCATGTGTTCCAGAGAGGACTCTGAGGAACTTTGCTGAATATTTTGAATGTCACTAGTTTATAAGAAATATTTTTAAATAAATAAAAGCACATATATAAATAATGACATAGAGTCAAATGTTTTGGGGCATGCTAGTTAGATATCATTGGATAGAGACTAAAGCTCTATTTAACCACCTACACATTTTGAAATATTAGATTAAAGAAGTAGTTAAGCAATGAGAATTTAAAGAATTGGCTTTATAGCGTAAGTTGATGCTGGAACTTGTTCTCTCTTACAACTTTGGGCCAGTTACCTACCTAACCTCAATAGGCCTCAGCTTCCTCATATAAAATGGAAACAAGCTTCAGAGGGTTATAATAAAGATCGAATAAGCAAATGTATATAAAGCTTTGGTTATAAGTTGAATTGAGTCTTTCCTGTATGTACATATTTAAGCCCTAACCCCTCATATATTAGAATGTGACTATATTTGAAGGTAAAGTCTTTATAGAGGTAATTATGTTAAGGTAAAGTCATTAGAGTGGCTAGTAATTCAATATGACTCAGGTCCCTATAAAAGAGGGGACTTTGGAGACAGAAACACACACATACACACACACATATGCATGTGCATGTATGAGAGCATGCGCACACACACAATGCCATGAGAATATGAAGTCAGAGGTCGGGATGGTCTTTCACAAGCTAAGGAATGCCAATAATTGCCAGGAAACTATTATGTGTTAGCTCTGTCACTATAACAAATAGCTGAAATAATCAGTGGAATAAGGAGGAAAGGTTTATTCTGGCTCACAGTTTTAGAGGTTTCAGTTGATGAAGAGGTGAACTCCTTGTTTTTAGGCTGTTTTGGGGGGACATTGTATCATCGCTGGTATAGAAAAATCACTCACCTTGTGGTTGGGAAATGAAAGAGAGAGGAGGAGGAAGGGCATAATGTCCCATTTTCCTCTTCAAGAATACCCCTGAATGTCCCGAAGACCTTCTAGTCGGCCTCATCTCTTGAAGATTTCACGACCTCCCATGGTGCCATGCAGGAGACTATGCTATCAACACTTGTCCCACTAAGGGGATGGTCCACATCCAAACCTTGGGGCATCAGGAACCACCAAAGGGCACTGGGGCAGATTGTCCATCACAAGCCTCAGAAAGAACCGGCTTTGGTGACACCATGATATATTTCTAGCCTCCAGATTATAAGTCAATGTATCCCTGAAGTTCAAGCTGACCACTTTATGGCATATTTTTTGTCATAGCCATAGGAAACAAATGTAGCATTTAAAACATTATAAGCACCTAATTATCTTGACCAATAATTATTATCTCTGTAACTTTCTAAATAGTCTGAACTATTTCTTTGCACAATAATTTAAAAAGCTATGCACCTTACCTAGCACTGAATTTTAGCATTCCCTTCTCTTTTCTGATTGGTATGTGATTCTTTTAGAAAGGGGACCCTTTGGCATGTGGAAGGATGAACCCCATTAGCCACCTATCCTTTAGGCAGGCAGTTAGGTGAGGAGGACTCTTGAGCAGTGGACACTCCCAACACCTCTTGCTCATATCAGAATCCATCCACTGCCACATTGCTATAAGACAGGGTGGGGACCTTGAATCCTGTCCATTCATCCTCTTCATGTTTCCTTTCAACTGCAAGCATTTGGTGCTTTTTCTCCTGATAAACTTAACAATCTTGGAGTGGGCAAAGAGCTCTCAATGTGATTGACTTCATGTCCCCAAAGATGTCCTTGTCTTGCCTCTGTTCGAGATCCTCATGAAACTTTCAAGGCAGTCCTCCCAGTCTGTGTGCAGGAGCCACAGTCACCTTTGCAGCCACATGAAAGTACTCTGTTAATAGAGCAGCAAGTTTGTATATTTTAGTCCTGCAAACTGCAATCTGAATAATGGGGGCCTCTCTTGCATAGGAACCCACAGTTGTGTGGGTCAATATGCTGGGGTGAATCTGACCACCAGGCTTTCTCATATAGTGTCTCCATACAGTGTCCTGGGTGGACAGACATGAGGCACAGGGTAAAGCAGCCAGGGAGTTGGCCAGGTTATTAGGGTGGGAAAGCAGTAGATCAGTTTCCTTTTCACTGCTTAGAACATTTATAGTAACTTGAAAGAGTTATAGGATTTTGAGGTCACTCAGACAAAGGGTTCATGTGACTTGACTAAAGTCACATAGCCCTTGAGTTTTAGGGCCAAGATGACTGAGCAGCTTCTTGACTCCCAAGTGTATGTTCCCGGATAATACTTCGCCAAATATTATAAGAATAGTTTATGAGACGATGTTATGCATCTCCTCAATGCATGCTCTTGAGTCTTCCCTCTTTAATTGGGTTGCTCTGCCCACTGGTCATGGAAGATGATTAACTTCCTGAGCCAAAAACATAAATCTGACAAAATAAAATAGCGCTCTTTATTCTTGGTTACATGTGTTAAAAAAAAATCTGAATTTAAATATTATTGTCAGAACCTTCTAGTTTAGAACCATGGCAACTTATTCTAATTGCTAAGTCGTAAGTGTCAATCCTTAGCAGATCTGAACACACTTGAATTGTTTCCTGTCCCATTATCTGTATTTCCAAAAGGATTTTTATCAGTAGGCCAGTGTTTGGCAATTCACTATCTGGTTTTTGTTAATTGATTCATGTACCCTGGTCATAATTTTATTGATTGATGTAAGTGTTTAGTACCATCAATTTTTTAAGCATTGGTGAGCACACTGTTTCTATCCTGGAAATTTAGAACATATATTCAGAGCATCAGTGTTGTTATTATATTTATTTATTTTGTATTTATATGTAGTGACTATTAAATTAGCTATTTATGTTAACAATATCTTCCCCTATTGATTGTTAATAATTTGATGGCAAGAGATATTTCACTTATATTTGATTCCATTACCAATATTTCACAGGTACCCAGAATATTTATGAAAGGTATGATTGAATAAAGAAGCACTCCCAAAGGTTATACCTTTTTAAGTAGTGAGAGGTAAGAAAAAGGAAGCTACTAAGTCTTAGAAATTAGAAGTTGCTTGCTATTGGCCACTGTATCTAGAAAAGCCCACAAGATGACAATGTCTGTCCCATTTCTTTTCCTCCTAGAAAGATCTGGACAAGCACCTTCTTCAACCCGCGGGTCAAGGAGGTAACACCGTGTTATCTGTCTGCAGCTATGCTGCTTATAATTGTGGGGTGGGAGAGGTAGTTGGACTTGGTTCACCTGTACCTCCAAATCCAAACTTACACTTCAGTTCAACTCCAAGAATATTTTTCATGGATTTCTGAAAGGTTTCCAAGTTTGAGAATTCCTTATGGGCCTATGAAAGGAGATGAAAAGAGTGACACCTTCCACCACTTAGTGATTGATTAAGGCAACCACTCATTCAGCTAACAAAGCTTTATTTTGTGAGTGTTTTGATATAGAATTATGGAGTGTTAAGATCAAGGGGCCAAGATACTGTTGGAGAATATGAGACAGAGAAAAATAATAGAGAAGACATTTTAGGAATTTCAAAAATTTGCCTACACTTGGCCCTGACTCCTGAAAAGACCTAGCAAGTGTAATTCATCATGGTGTTAGTTAATTTTTTTTAAGGAAGTTCATTCTGTCTATTGTATAAACACAGTCCTGATAGAATAACTGTACAATTAATGTTTTTATTCGGGTCCCCAGAGTTGATACAATGACAAATATCTGAAATTTACCCTCTTTCTATGCAATGTAATCTATGTCCAGCCACCCACAATTTTATGCCAGTTCTCCGAAAAGCATTTTAAAAACAAATCTGAAGTATACATAATAATAGTGATGAAAATAAACATTAAGCAAAGGGAGAAATGATAAACATAACCTTTAGACCACATGACTTCCTAGGATGTCAGCTATTTCAGGAACTGAAATGGTGCATTTATCATATTCTCATCTGTTCAATATATAATTATTTTAACTATTATGTGTGTGTTGTTTATAACCCATTATCTTGCAATAACAGCTTGCATGGATCACCACGTAATTTAAAAATATAATGGCTTTTCTTGCCAATATTTGATTTCCAACTCTAAATCTGCTGACTTTAACTATATTTATGCGATGCACCCTGAGTAAATTAGTTTTTATTTTCTAAGGATTTATCTTAGAATATGCACCTGTACTTTCTTTCACATAAACTGTTGCACTTTGGCTCTGGCTTATGTGATGGCTTGCTTTCTAAAATGGAATAAACTGGCTCTGTACAGGCAAATCAACTAAATCAGCAGGATCACAAATTTGAGAATTCACATTGGTTAAGTGGATGGAAATAGGACACTTGCCCAATTATCTAGATGACATGATCAATAAAACCCAGAAATTAGATTTTTCTGTCTTGGATTACTAAAACTATTTTGATCATATTAACCAGATAATTGTTTTGTAGTGTATATGATGACTATTATTATAGCTAGTCAATTGGCTATTACATATGAACATAAACATATGGATACCATGTGGATTGAATTCAGATCTAATTAACCTGGTTTGATAAGATATTATATTTAAAGAAAGATATATGTGTTTTGTCACTAAGATTTATTGAACACCAACTGTGTGCAGGAAGAGAGATAGGCACTAGATTAATAAAGTGAATATAAGAAATCTAAGAAATGATTGTATAGTGGGGAGGTAGACACACAGGAACATATTCACAGTACAGTGATATAAATGCAATGGTAAAGGTTATACAGAGTGTCTTTGGAGAACTGAGGAAAGAGGGAAATGTGTATGTGTGGGTGTCAGAGGTGTTGTTTGAAAAAGCATTTTGGAAAATGTGAAGCATAAAAAGAGCTAATATGTTTAGTGGTAGAATGGGTTTTACCAGTAGAGGGCATCAGAGGAGTTTAGAAGATGGAGACTTGCTGTCTTCTAGGTTTAAAGAAGCAAGTTTCTATGAGGTCTGTAGTGGCCACATGGGCCTAGAAGACCTCCAGGCTTTGATGACATGGCAGCAACCTTAATCAAATCCTTTTTCATGTTTTGAGATATTCAGCGGAGGACCCAGGGAAGGCTTACTCACATTTCTGATCCACAGAAACTATGAGACAATAGATGAATACTGGTTTATGTCTCCTAGTTTATAGTTATTTTGTACAGCAATAAGAAACTACTATATTGCTAAAGGTGAAAATGTACATGAGCCTAGGAATTCTACTTCTAAGTTTGTAGCTTAGGATGAAGCAGTTGTTACGGACTGAATTTCTGTGTCTCCCCAAATTTCATATACATTGAAGCTCTAAGCCCCAATATGATGGTATTAGGAAGTGAGACCTTAGGGTGTAACTAGGTTTAGATGAGCTCATTAAGATGGGGTTCTGACAGTGGGATTAATAACCCCTTTAAGAAGGAGAGTTGCCTAAGTTTTCTTTCTCAATAATGTGAAGGTGGAAAGAGAAGACAGGTGCATGCAAACCAGGAACGAGGCTCTCACCAGAGCTCCACCATACTGGCACCTTGATCTTCAAGTCCTCAGCCTCCAGAACTGTAAGAAATACATTCTTATTCTTTATCACTCAGTCTTGGATATTTTGTTATGGCAGCATAAATGAGTAAAGACAGTTATATATGACAATGCAAATAATTACTGACAGCTTAGGAACTGATCTCTTTTCTCTGTCTGTAGTTGCATAGGGAATTGAAGTAAGGACCTAATGAACCCATTCTCCCTTGAGGTCTAAATGGTTTTCTAAGGTATAGAGTAGGTGATGGGGCTGAAAAATGAATCGGATTGCAGATACTTTTCAAGAGATACAGAATGAGAAATATGAAGGGAAGCTTTTCTAAAGACTAGAAATTTGACAAAAGTTGCCAGCAAGATGCAATGGCATCTAACTAGTCCATGGGACATTTTTCCTGGAGATCAAAACCGAAAGCCATGCAATGATTAGTGTTCCTTAGGAGAGTCACAGTCGAATAAAAATATATCAAAGCTCATGTTTTTATAGAGTCTTTATTATGTTTCAATAGTGTGATTTTTGCCCAGGTCTTATACAAAACAAAAATTAAACTACTCAGTAGTGCCCTAATAAGTAAGTCTTTTTTTTTTGGTACCGGGGATTGAACTCGGGTCCTTGCACTTGCGCAGCAGGCAGCGAAACCATTGAGCTAAATCCCCAGCCCTAATAAGTAAGTCTTAATGAGAATCAAGGCATATATAGGTGCTTCAGTGAAGAATTTTATCCCTTACTCTTTGGCTTTTAAAAGTTAGAATTTAAATGTCAGCTTTATACATTCAAGTTTATAATTTCCATTCCATCAAATTGAACCAATAAATTAAATTTTCATAGCAAAACAGTGGTAGAAAGTTGCCCATATTTTATACAGCTTTCAGTGACATCCACATACATTGGCATTTAGTTGGAAATGAGTTTTTATTCTCATGCAGTAAATTTAGCTTAGAACAGATCAATTAAGAACTATTTATGTAGCTTGAAATTAAGTATTAGTTCAGCAAAATTTATTAAGAGTTTGCTAGGTTTTAATTTACTGGGTACAGTTCAACAAGTATTATTTAAATGCCTGCTGTGTTGGACACAGTGCTCTGAGGACACAGAGATAAATTGACTTTGTCCCTGTCCCAGGGAATGATCTTACAATGACTACATAGAGCATGGCAAGTGCTAACATAGAGATGTACAGAATCTACAGAATCTAATGGAAGACCCATTCCCAAACAGAAGTGAAGAGGAGGCTTGCTAGGGTAAATGAGTTCTCTTTAAGCATTAGACTGAAAATGAGACATAAGCTTCCTAGGCTGAAAGGAATATGATAAAAGATGTGTAATTAAGCAGCTTTTAGCCAGGAAAAGAGAAACTCTCCTGTCTTCAGGAACTGTGGAACCACATGGTGAATATAAAAAACACCACAATCAGATTTGTATTTCTAGAGGGTGGAATTCCTACTGGGCATCTGCGTATATTACTTTGTATAAATATAAACAACTGCTATAAAAGGTCTGAGGCTCAAAATGCAAAGCCTACTAAGAGGCTACTTTAATATTTCACAGGAGAAGTGATGCAGGAAGTGGGCAAAGACAGTGCAAAAGGATATCTAGGGGAGAAAGTTGGCAAGATTTAATCAAATAGGTGTGCTGAGGAGGTGACAGAGCTCCGGAAAACCTGCTGTGTTTGAGTGACATGCTCTTTCTTACTGCAGAGTTTTGACTCTAAGATAGATCCAGGTTACTAGAGAGAAGACAGAGACACTCTCAAGTTCCAATGCATGGATACAATGAACTGCTCCCCAGGGATTGATCTAGATTGTTTTTTTTTGGAGCTGACCACAAGATGAAGCATATATGGAAGAAATCACATAAGTGGTAGATGTGATTGCTGAAGCTGTTTATCTGAGGAGAGATTTTGCCTCTCTGTGAGTCCACATCCTTGATTTTAGGACACCTTTTTCCCACCATGTGCCAGTGAGTAAAGCTTCCAGAGGAACACTCAGGTTCACTGTAGTTAGAAATGCAGAAGACCCTGGCTGGTACTTGCACGAAAACTAAAGTGGACTATAGGTTGTGACTTACAGGTGACAAAAGAGAGCTGATCAACAAAAGTTGATCACTTGGTTTACTGGCTGACCAGTAGAAGTCAGTTGTATCATGAAGAGAAGCACTCCCAGAATTTCCAGGGAAGGGACAACTGTACCAGATTTGGATCCAGAGCACTGCAGTGGGAATGCCCAAGGCTTCTGCAGAAAGAGCATAAGGTGCCTTGATGGATTGCTGGGGCACTGTGGAAGCAGTGTAAGGTTCTCCTGAACTAGAGATCCACTGATGTGGGTCAAAGAAACCTTAGGAGATATGATCCAAGAGAAACTCAGAGAGTAAAGGAAATGGTTCAAGGAAAAGGCTTAGCTTCAAAAATCTACCAGGTCCACCAAGGACATGAACTAAACTCTCTGGCAAGCTCAGGAAGAACAGGGGAGTCTAGCCAAGTAACAACTGTCCTGTCTCTTTGGGGGAGTAGGAGGAGGAATAATAGCCAAGGAATGGGAAGAGGAAAAGCCAGCAAAGGGAGAAAGAGAAGAACTCACTCTGTCTACACTTACTGTTATGGTGTTGGCCTAACATGGTCCCCAAAATCTCATGTGTTTGGAGGTAACTCAATCATGAGGATGTTAAAGCTGACACGCTGTTAGGAGGTGGGGTCGGAAGAGGCTGCTTACTGAGGAAGGGCATATCCCCCTTTCCTACATGCTGGGCTTCCTGGCTGCCATGACATAACTAGCTTTCCTCCAGCCGGGTCCTTCTGTCATATTTCTGCCTTGTAGCCCATCCACCAGAGACTGTAACTGTGAAACAATGTAAACTTACCTTCCTTTAAATTGTAGGTGTTGGGCATTTTATCCCAGCAACAAGATAAGTAACCAAGACACCATCTTGCTGGAGTCTTCCAGCATGTTTGAGTTCAGAGGGGGCAGAAATTTCAGACTAAACCAGGCTGGACTTTTGATTGCTATCTTAGACTCAGAATGTTCTAATGACTAAGTTGAGGCTCCATTTCAACACAAAAAGACCTTAGGACTTCCACTGGCTTCAAGAAGCAAAAAATCTGAAATGTGCTCAGATTTTCATTGAGTGATTTTAAATGGGAGGTGGGAACAAAAAACTAAATTGTTTTTGCTGTCTTGGTGGTTGTTTTTGTCTGATACCAGTTGTGTTGTCATTAAATGACAGGGGATTTATTTTAGTAATAACAATTTTAACACAATATATTTTATTAGAGAATGTTCTTGGTAGGAGTGTAGCAGCAGAATATCCAAGCATAAAATTCCAGTAGAGAACTGGAAGAATTTAAACCTAAGAGAAAAGTTAGAGTTGTAGTCACAGAAACACTTGTATATTTTACTTAAATAAATCTCTTTTTCTTCCAGTTCTTTGTGAGGGATCATCACTTCTATACTAAGATGTCTAAGATGCGTTCATTAATAATCTTTGTATCTGTTTCAGTGTAACCTACACATAGCTACAAAAATAAACTGTCTGGAACATCATTTTGTTCTCCCTTCATGACAGTGGCTTCCTATCAATTATCAATCAGGTTTGAATTCCTCAGCTCAGAGGACCCAATTCCAGTTGTTTGGGAATATTTTCTTAATATTTTCACTTGACATTGGAGCACTATTTCTAGGCCCAATGGGATTCCTTAGACTTCATTTGTACTTTTGTTTTTCCCCATGCCGGAATCCCATTCCATCCAAATTCTACTTGAAATTTCAGTTTAGGCACTCTTACTGTCCGGTTTTAGGGAACTCAAAATGCTTGACAGATGCCTGGAATTGCAGACAAATTTGTATACATTTTATGTGTACAATGGATCTATGTTTTAAATTAGTTTTATCAGATAGTCTGAGATGAGAAAATAAGTAGGACTCACTAATTTAACTGAAAATCTCTCATTCTTTTTCCTGAACCCAGTTCTCTTCTCCTCTCAGTGCCAAGATGAGAGATGTCAAGGTGCCTGTTCTCACTGCAGCCGATCCCCCTGTTGCTCAACAGCCAGCTTGTGGTATTTCACCACAGCAGCCCGGAAAGACTGACACTCAACTTGGTCGATTGTCACCTAATGTCCTCTCATCCCTCCTGAACAATCACTGGTGTGCTCTATGACTGCACGTTTCTTTAGTCCCTGGATCCATTGCCATTGGTCTCCTGCATCCTGCATGCCCATCTCTAGGGAGCTCCTGATTTCCCTCTGCTAGGTCCTAGGCTCATTTTTACAAATTGCTGCTACATTATCCTACACTTCAATAATAGCTAGTGGTGACACTAATGTTACTAATAGCAAATGCACAGTGCTTACAATATGCTTGGCCGTATACTTAATGCCTTCTAGGCACTGTCTCAGTTCTCCTGAGTACTGCCTTACATGATTCTGCTTTACAGAACCTTCTGTGTAATGGGAGCGACCCTCTACCAAGAAACAACTGCATGACAAACATTTTGTTAGTATTTACATATATGTAATCTACACAAACATATGGAGTGGAGTTTTTTATCCCCATGTTATAGAGAAAATAGAAACAAAGAAGTTAAAGGACTAAATTATCACAATTAAACCTGGCATGTAATCCTCGAGATTGGAAAGGCCGAGGCAGGAGGATTACCAGCTTGAGTCCAGCCTGGACAACTTAGTGATTTAGGGAGAACTTGTGTCAATATAAAAAATAAAAGAAAGGCTGAGGATGTATTTCAAATTGAAGGCCCTGGGTTCAATTTCCAGTGCACCCCCTTCACCCTCCCAAAATATCACACTGATAGTAATTTATAGTTAAATTTCAGAATCTGTTCCAATACCAGAGCAAAATAGGTTTATATATTCCTAAATTCACTGCATCATGTCCCAGCAGAACCTATAGCTCTGGTGGATGGGTTTGGTCCAGACCTTGACTCTACCTTACTTAATTGTTTCCTGATACACTATTCATGTACTGAGTGCACCCTATAGCACTTTCATTTGCTTATAGGTTGCAAGTACGTATTCTTCAGTTTCTTTGTTCACCCATTCATTCATTTATTAATTAATTTACTTATTGGGTTCTTCCTCTGTGTCCAGCATTATGCTAAAAAAACCCCTAGGAAATTGATGCTGGAAAAAGCATAGCATAGAGAATGACATGTAAACAAATATGACAGCTGTGAGAAGAGGTGAAAGATCTCACATCTGCTAGTCAAGGCCAGCAGATAGGAATATTTGCACTGAGATAAAAAGATTGATGCTGGAGAAGGGTGTATTTCAATCAGGGGCAAGAGAATTCAATAGGATTACAAGGCATGTTCAGGGAGCTGCAACAGGTTCAGCAAGTCCTGGAGACAGGGCAGGAAAGGAAAAATAGGACACAGGGATTGGGAATAAGATCACAGGAGACCTGTATAGCCTGATGAAGGACATAGGTTTTATTCTGTGGCATAGAACGACTCCAAATGAAGCCTGTCATTTCTCAATCATGTAGAATTTATGTTAGTAGATAGTATAAAGTATATCTTCTACTTTTGGGAAGGGAGTATTACTTGTGATGGTGAATTATTATTACTTATACAGGGGGTTGGGGGTATAGTTCACCAGTAGAACACTTGCCTAACATGGACCAGGCCCTTAATTATATCTCCAGGACTAAAAAGCTGCACAAAATTGTGTGTGTGTGATGTTGGTGTATATAAGTATTTATATGGCTTATATAATGGAATGCCAGTACTTCTGGTTAGTTGGGATTTATTAATTTCCTAATATGCATTGGTTTAACAAAGGCCCAGAAAGCTAACCCTAAAGAACATTCTATCATGTCTCAAATGTTCTTTAATTTCTCCCCTCTTTCCAGTCAGCCTCAAACACTGAATGCTGTTAAGTTGAGCTGCACACTGGAAAGGCTTCCTGATTCTGAATGATATGCAGTTATCAGGGACCAGTGAACACGCACCCACCTCTGCTTAGCCAGTTTACCTCCTGTGGCAAATTTGATCTTCACACCATAAATCCAATCTGCTGACTTGCTCCTTTACATTACATCTGATTCTAGTTTTGGAGCTCCTCAAAAAGTGAAATTACTAAAAGAGTACCAAGGGGAGTTTCAGGAACGAGTGCCTTATTTTGTATTTCCTAATAAAACTCAATATTTGAAACCTTTGTTGAGTTATGTACTCATTTAAAGAAATGCATACCTTTTCTCTCTTGAATGTTGTGGTTCATCTCAGGATTCCCTTGGTGCTAATCTTGCAGTAGGCTGGAGCATTGCTCCTCTTTCCCTCCCCCTTATCCCATCTTCGCTGTGGGTACCCCTGCCTTGCCAAAGGTAGCATATGGTGCAGTGAGTCATATGTCAAAAGAAGATGAGGGCAAGATGACAACGATTTCTGATGCATTTCCCCTCACATCCTTCCGTTCACCCCCCAACTGTGGAGACCGATTTATGCCTTGGAGCGAATGGATATAAACTTTCTTACTTCCAATATGGTCCCTCGTCTTGGAGCTCATTCTTTAAACATGCCTAAATGTGGCCTGGCAATTTCACTTTCTTATGCAACCTAAGTACAAGCAAAAAGGTACTTGCAGTGCGCTGAGCATTTGATCTCAAGCTTTTATGTAACTTCTGCCTTTCCTTGCAATAGTACAAGATAAAAGGAAACCAGCTGTTTTATTGTTGAAGATCAAGGTAATCAGGATGGTGACTGAGGACCTAACCATGATCACAGCAGGGAGAAGAGGAGGCCATGTGATGTTTTTCTATCAGGCACAGTATGTCAGATTTATGTAGCTGTCAGAAAAGGGCATTTCTTTTCATGGCTGTTTATGATTTCTTTGTTGTTGTTGCCAGTTTTAAATTCCTAGCACCCTTCTCAGTCAATGGAACGAGGCTGTTATAAGTATGCATTCCCTTGGTAAGAGAATAGCTAATATTACATGTTCTTACTAGGCACTTGGACTGTGCATTACAAGTAGTTGCCTTACTATTTATCCACACAATAATGCTGTGGAGGGAAATGGTGTTATTCCCATTTTACAGAAGAGAAAACCAAGACATGAAAAGGTTAAGTAACTTGCCTGGATTATCCTGCTCATAAACCTTAGTGGAGCTGGGATTAAACCCAAATAGCCACTCTTAAGACTAGGAAGAGGTAAGAGAGGCATAAAATTTAAGGAAGAGCTCTTCAACCTTGTGCAAGTGAAGGATCACACCTGTGTATGAATGCTTCCTTAAATCACACCCTGGTCCCAGCCTTGAAAGCAAACTTGCTATAGACCCTAGGGGCTTAGTCCTTATACCTCCTGCCAACCCTAGCCTACCCCTATGGAGCACTTCAGCCTTCAGTAGGGAAGTAGCTTGAACACTCCCAGAAAGGGTGTGTAGGTACTGAAAACAGCAGCAGAGATAGAGCCCAAAGCATGTAACTTTCTAGGGTATGGTGAGCATTCTGCTTTTGTACTACATTTGCTCCCATTCTGCTTACATGCAGGATCATCTCCCTCTACCCTCCTACAGCTTGTAGAGGAAGAAAGATACTTCTTACTTGAGAGCCAAATATCTGCATCTCACAGAGAAAATACTAGAGCATCACAGAATATGATGCATACTTAGGTCTGGTTGCTCCGATGAGCCTTATTTTTCTATTGCCAAGTTCATAAATACCCCTAGGTGCATGTTGGGGACAAATGTATTCCAAAGGCACATATGTATAAAGACTCTTGGGATCTCAGAGCAGGAAGGGAAGTCAAACTGTCTCAGGCAGTGGGAGAAAATAAGGAGAGTCCAGGGTCCCAGGACTTTAGTGAAGAAGTCTCTTCTTCCACTTACCCTGTGCTCTTCAGTTCCTTTAGAAGACTGAGCAGGTTTTGGGTAGGACTAGACTTCTTCATTAGTCACTTAGTGGGAAAATAATCACAATATCATTAAGATAAGGAGTTCTTTTGTTCAGTCTTAGATAGCCAAATACTTTGAGGCCACGTGTTAACAAGGTGGGACTCCTTCTGCTGCCCTTCAGCAATGGCCTCACCTTTCTCTCCAGTCAGTACACTGGACAATACACACTTGAGATCTCTCAGAAGCTTCTATGTGGACTGCAGGAGTAGTGGGGTCGCAGCGGGAATAGCGACACTGAGTGCAATAGCTTTGAAATCTGCATCACAGTAGATAAAACATCTTGGTAGTTTGACGCCTGTGAAGACTGGTTGACAATGGATTCCCCTCCCTTATGGGTTTCATGCCAACTAAACCGTGTGGGAAGGGCCATACCAAGCAAAGGGACAAGACAAGAAACACTAAGCCAAAGGGAAACATCACTTGCCTCTTTGATCAGGTTCATAAATCGGGGTCCCAGGCGCCATGGCTTGTGTCGATGGCACTGTAGGGAGCTGACGGTCAGCTGTGAGGCTCGGTGGGAGGCGATGGCCACCATATACACTGCATCGTACATCAGAGCTGCTTCCGTCTGCAGAGAAAGGCATACAGCACACCTTCAATCTTTGCGTACTTTTCTTTACCCGCATGATCACAATCTTGGCTTCCTTTGTTCCTATTTAATCTCAAACGCCATTTTTTTCTTCAGGTGAGAAGTTTCCATTCTCCAATGACTACTTTTCTCCAAAGTAATACCTTAAGCTCCAGAGTAAATTGGAATCCTATCTCTGTTTCGTTTTGAGTCCTTAAAGAAGAAAAGCAACAGAGATGAACCACAAAAGACTTGACTCAGGAAACAAATATTTTTGGAGTGTCTTGTGAAGCACCATGTTAGGATTAACTACATTGATCAAGAAGCTACTAAAGCTCAGTATTTCCAAGTCCGATTTTGTCTTTCATCATTTATCTACATTTATTTAGTTATTGATTTATATTTGGTAAAAAGAAACTCCTGAAAATAAAACTAACAGATAATTTACTGTGAAGGGTGCTTGTGTTAGTCACTTTCATTTACCAGAATTGAGAAGGCTTTAGTCATGAATTCAAGGTCAATAGCAGGTTTGAGAAAGCAGATACATGGATAAGAATATGCCACCTGTGACAGGCACTGAAAGTAGTGATTTCTCTTTGGGGCTGGGTATCTCTTTCTTCCACTCCTCATGAAATTCTTCTCATTTGCAAGATTTTACATAGCACAGCAATTTATAAAATATACTGCCCTGTGGTTTTCTTTGGGGATAAATCTTACAATACACTCACATTTTACTGGAGGGCTTTCATTGCAACTTTAAATAGATTAACTCATTTTAAATTCTCATAACTCTTCAAAATAAGTAGAACAGATAGATAAAACTATTTATTACACGGAAAAACTGACCTCCAGGTAGGATATTGATTCATAGAGGGTTATAGGTATATAAGTGATAATTGCTAGAGTTAAACCTAGATTCTAGATTACAGAATGAGAATTTATCATATGGATTTTCTGCATTTAGCCTATTCATTCATTGTTTTCTCTGCTTTGATTATGTCTTGATGGAGGTGGAAGGAAAGCATAGGTGTTGCTACATTTTGCATTTTATTAGTATTTGAAGCCAGAGAATATTTCTAGTTTGAATCCTTATTATTCTATGCAATCTTTATCATTGCATTTTCCGTATATTTATAGTCATTTATTTTTGTATTTGTTTATAGATAAAAATATGGCCTTCTTGAAGGCATAAACTATTTTGAATTTAACTTTTGGTGCCTGCAACAGCTCTTGATGCATAAAAGTTGTTTAAATTAACACTCATGAAGGAATTAATATTACTTCATGCCTTAAAATGCAATGCATTTTTCTGGAGAACTGGATAATTTCAAGGTTTTGGGATAAATCATTTCACTCTTATAATTGACATAGAGAAATTAGACTGGAGGTGGTGGTGATAGTGATTGCTGAAGCTTAAACATGTTTTGATAACTTCAATTCAAGATTATATAATCCGTTCTGTAGGCAAGAAAACTAAAGTTTATGGAAATTTAGTGACGGGACAAGTTACTCTGCTAATCAGCTGTATGGTGAGAGTTTGAAGGCATGCCTTTCTCACTCTAGCACTGACGTTCTTCACCGCTATTTTATAGAAATTTGTTTTAATTTGGAGAGAGTAAACAACAGGCCAATTGAGACGTTTTGTAGAGGCAATTAGAAGCAATAGCTAACATTTATTAAATAGTATATGTCAAGTCTTGCTCTCAGTCTTTTGCAAACATTGAATTTTCACCCTCACCGTTACTCCTCTAGAGAAAAGAAATAAATAATTAAATGGTGCCTAAATGGTGTTTATAAAGCATTCAAACTCCAGAAGTTGGCACTAGAGGCTATGTTCTAGAGCTATGAGGCTGTGCTTCCTTTAAACCAAGTTACCGTACTTATGCAATGACTTAGTAAACACAGTAATACTTCAATGATGGTTAAAATATTCCCTGACAATTTATTATATACTAACGCTATTCTATGTGTGTCTTTTTCCACAGTTGTTGAAACTAAACCTTTGAAATATGTATTGTCCACATTTTACAGACAAGCAAATTAAAGCTTGGAGAGGTAGAATAACTTGTTAAAAATGTGTAGCCAGTGAGAATTCCAACTCGGGATGCAAACTCATATTTCAGAACTCACTCCCATAGCTACTGTGATAACCTGGGGACTTTTAGGCAGTAGAATATACTGGGATTTAAAAAAATATAAATTTGTATTTGTACAGTCTTTTCTTGGTATCCAAGGGGAATTGGTTCTGTGACATCTCTTGAATATCAAAATCTGAGGATGCTTATGTCCGTACATAAAAGGGCACAATGTGGGCTTGTAACTATGCACATTCTTTTGTATCCTTTAAGTTACCTCTAGATAATTTATAATACTTAATGCTGTGTGAATAGTTGTAATACTGCTTTGTGTAGGGAAAAACAAAGAAAAAATTCTATACATGTTCAGTACAAATGCAATTTTTTTCTTGAGTATTTTTGATGCCTAATTGGCTGAATCCACAGGGTTGGATACACTTCATGAATTCACTGAAGACTAGCTTGGTGGAGAAGTGTAAACAGTGGAATTCCAATGACCTGGATTTTTTATAAACTTAATTGAGAGAGGAATTTGGTTTTTTTCCCCTCTAGGCTGCTTCCATAATAGTATGGACAATTAGATATTTCAAAACTATAGATGTGATTCATGCTTTCCAAATCTGAAAAACAAAACCACTTATTCTGAAAACATGCTACCCTTTGACATAGAAAATTTTCTCGGATTGGCAAACATTCTCTCTATTTTATAGCACTAACAAACTACACCACTGCCTTTTTTCTCCCTCTCAGTTTTGTCCTGGAGTGTTGAATACTGAATAGTAACTCTGAAGCCATTTTTGATAATAGATAATGTAATAGAAATTGGCCTAGGTTTCAAATTTTGTTCTTCCACAATGTTTTGTAGTAGAGTTAACTCAGTGGGCTTGAAGTGCTCAAACCATATACATTCCAAAGAAAGGACTGACCCTTGACTAGATCCTTGGAGACGATACTTAGTCTCTTGAACAGGGTCTGACAAGAGTGTCATCATGTTCTTGTGGTGTTGGGCCAGACAATTTATGCTAACAAAATGACTATTGAATATTTTCTTTTGTTAACCTGGGGCTCTGGGTCATGTTGTATCATTCCAACTTCTGGAAGGGTGGAAGACTAACTTGGTTCCATTATGTGCATGTTCTGCCCCAAGGAACTGGCCACTATCTCTCCTGGACATGGTTTTCAGACTGCATTGCTGAGAATTAAGCACTTGATATGTAACTGGCCTGGGGGAAAAATAACTGGAAATTCATGCCTGGTTTCTCCTGGACACTGCCCTTCGTGTCTTCTCCTTTTTTTTTTTTCTTTGATTTTATTCTTTTTTATTTTATTTTATTTTATTTTTTACTCTTTATTTTTTACTATAATAAACTGCCACTGTGAGGAGAACAAGTTTACTGAGTCCCATGTATCCTTTAAGCAAATTACCCAACTAGAGGATTGGCTGGGGGAATCTCTACACCAACCAGTGAGATGCCACCTCACCTTGGGGACAAGGACTGCAGCACTCTAGAGGGCCTCCATACCTTTCCCCCCTCCTCATATGTTCTGTGGTTAAAAAACAAACTGTTGGAAAAAACTGGAGAAGACTGAGGTGCCAAAGAGAGATCTAGTCTTTGGAGAGCAAATAAGATATGTTTCTCATTTTATCTCCAAATTTGGAAACATTTACTGAACTGATAGGGATAGACAAGGTAATTTTCTAAGACAGAAGTATTGCCAAATAATAGCCTTTCCCCCTAATTTCCTGGACTGCTTCCTAGCTTGGTGCTAATGGTTTCCTCTTAAAATCCAAAATATCTCACTCACTGTAAAGAGCTAACAAGACTTTTCCACTTAATATGGATTAGCTAATTTTCTTTTTTTCTAAGATTTGTCTCAGTGAAGTGATGCGGATATTGGTAAGGGTGGGAGGACCACACTTTGCTTACAAGAGCCTGGCTGGGCAGCACAGGGGTGAAAATGGATGCTGCTGAGGAAGTCAAAGTAGTGGAGGAGGCATTGCTCATCCTCAGCACCTGAGCACCCAGGAGGGAGGGAGGAGCCACCCACAAGAGATATGGATTTGGAAATGGGTTTGAGAAGGCGGCAAAGAGATCAATGCACACTCACATTCTAGAAATTTAGTAATTAGGACAGCAACAGAGGAGCAGGCGTATTGAAGCTTGACGGAGAGGTTGGCATAATTTGAGTCTCAATGAATTGTTGCTGGCTTTTGAAAGAAACAGTGCGAAGTAGGGTAAAGATGACCATGGATGGAGCAAGAGGACAAACTTGGGTGGTTCCACGGGTTATTTAGGTCATACAGCTGTCAGGTAAAGGGTCATCTTGGGCTACTGGTACAGTACAAGGAATATGTCTCTTAGAATACAGATTATGACTTGATATTTCAGAAAGTCTTTTCTCTTTAGTAGACTACAAATTGGCAAAATAGCCAGTATCATGAAGTAAATTCGTTTTTATGCCCTAGAAGCTTTGCATATGTTTTCTAGTTTAATCAGTGGAGTGATAAAGCAAAGTAATATTATACAGATTCACCAACTAGCAAACAGTTTCTGAAAGGGCTCAGTGACTTGTTCAGGTTACTTTGTCAGTAGACATAACCAGGACTTGGAAAGATATTTTTTTCTCTTAATCCAGTTGCTTATGGTCTTTCAACACAGAAGCAGTAGTGGAAACTCAAGGTGATTTTCGACTACTGATGTTGTCTCTGAGAACAATTATTGTAGGGAATGTTACATGTAAGAGCACAGGTTAAACCTACTGACTTAACTTCACACTGAGAATGCATTTAAGCAGGTAAAAAAGCAGATGGCAGATCAGTGTTCTACTATTTCTGTGGCTCCTACGTGGTACTGAATTATAGATAGCTCTGTCCACAATCAGAGAGGAATCCATCTGAGAATGGGCCATTCCTTTAACCCAGTTTATCCAAAAGCCAATAGACTGAATTAGCCTAAGTGCTCAGGAAAATTTAAATGTCGTGAAGAGAAATGAAATCAATTTTATAACAATTGCTCCAAAATTCTGATGTATTAATTGGCACTTTAGGTAATAAATCACTTTTTATAATCTTGATAATTTTTTAATAGTTTAACTGTTTTGAGCTCCACAGACTCAATAGCAGTTTCCTCGACTCAATTTTCACTCTATTTTAAAAGTCAATATATTTTTCTTTAAATAAATCTAGAGTTAAGAAGTTTAACTTAGGTATGACTGACTTTTATTTTTGTATTTGAAAGTGTTCTGACATATATAATAATATTCTTTGAGAATCTTTTGTGTATGAAATTCTAAGATATTTTTAAGTGTTAAAGTACTAAAAAGTGAAATAGATATGCAGGAGAGAAGCCAAGACATGGGTTTTTGCTGCATTATTTTAAAGCTTTTTGTTATATGCTTATACAGACATCTATGAGTGTATAAGGCACACAGCAAAATATGACTATAAAAGGCTACAAGGAATTTTACGTTGGAAAATAGTGGAATGTATATGATTTTAGAGAATGCAATTCTTTTATAGTAATATCATTACTTATAATTGTAGTAATGATATTAATACTGATATTAATTACTGATATCAATACATATTAAACATAACAAATTTTTAAAATAAACATCACTTTAGAATAATTTCTATCTTCATTAATTTCATATATTTCTTATTTATAGGGACTTTTTTGGAATTTCACTTATTTCAGGTCTCCATGAATATTTTTTTATTTAATATCTTGTTTCTCAGTAGAAGCTTAATTCATGTGTATTTCCTACATTAATGCCTTTATTAGTGAAATATTTCTCTGCAGGCCTGCTTTGTGCCAGGCTTTTCCTAGTGCTGAGGATAGAGTAGTGTACAAAGGACAGAGCACCAGCCCTCATAGAATTTATATTCTGGGAGGGGAAGGCACTGAACCAACAAACCAAAACACAGCATTTAAGGTCATAAGAGTTTTAGAGGAAAGTAAGACAGGTAAGGGATGAAGGAACAGAGAGGAAGCCACCAAGTTGAATGGTTCCCAGAAAGCCTCTCTGGTAAAGTGAAAAACAGTAGGTTCTAGGCAGCGGGAGTAACAAATGTTTGACATGCAAAAATGAACAACATGTAGAGTCTAGTACACAGATCCAGTGGTATTCAAACCTAAGGGCTTTTTGTCTTAAAGGTAGAGAGGAAAAAGTTTGGATAGAGGCAAGTAGAGAACAAAGATTTCTTAGCCTGGACCTGGGCTTGGAGATACACGATATCCTCTCTTGGTTCAGTGACCAGTCCATTGGATGTTCCCATGCTTCCCCTGCCACCTCTCTACAACTCAGTTTCCCTATCCTTAACTTAGCCATATCCAGGAGAAACAGAAAGAAAACAGCACAGTGCAACACAGTCTTTGGATAAATGGTGTTCCCTACCATGCTTCACATAATCACTTTTAAAGCTATGTCTGAATGGTCATTGGATCCAATTTTTAGTGGGTGCAAGGTTTTATCACTTTTTTTTTGTTTGTTTGACTAATATTATGATGAACTGCCATAGTTATTCTATATCTTTTAGAGTTAGACTCTCCTGGTCTAGCAAATTACCACTTTCCTTTTCATAGTTCATAATAATAATAATGCTAACAGTAAGAACTGAGCCTTGAAACCCCTCCCTGAGGCTGTATGACTACATGCACCAGGTGTCTTCTATCCATTGGGACTCAGATCTGTCACTAGCACATGCCAACTACAGTGCCCTGGGGCAGCAGTGTTGCCTTGTGCCAACCTGATCCCATGTGAATTGCACAGGTCTGTCTCCCTTGCTCGATGGTCTTCCTCATCCAGTCAATATGTACAAACTACTCAATCAGCTCAGTGTAATCGAACATGCTGATACTTTTTTTAAAATTTTTTTGGTAAATTAAGCCACATTGTGATGGATATTCAACATTTGGCATGAATCTACTCTGTTAAAATAGCTTCAAACTGTGACTCCTTAGACATACAAGCCAAACCCAAGTGAAAATTACTTGAAAGCTTGTGAAGAAATCTTGATGGAAGGCAGGGTAGTGAGATTTTGAACCATATTTTAATTTACTAGAACTACAAATCCAAGAAGTAGAGAGAGAAACCGTCATTGTGCGTCTCTCCTTCTCTTTCCCTTTGGTGTTCCCTGAACTTTCAGAGGTTTAGAGTCTGCCTTGATATTCTCTACTTGTTCTTACCCAAAGCAATGTTTAAATCACCCCAAGGCTCATTTGTACAAAATGTTTTCCACCATTATCTCTCAGATCAGAGTATTTTAAGTGTCGATTCAGATTAGAAAAACAGTCAGGGACCCTGAACACAGAATCATCCAGAACCACTTAATTCATTCACTTATTTCTTCTTTTCATTTGTTCCTCATAGGAAAAAGAAAACAGACATCCCAAGTTGGTTTCTTAGTGAGATGATACCTTCCAGTTATGGGTAAATTGCATCTTAAAAGCAAGAGTGCTTCTCTGGATGATGGGAACAGAAAATGAAATACTATGCCAATTTAAAATGCTGTATTACCTGCTTGCTTTCCCAATATCTTTTCCCTTAGATGCTACAGTTCTTACATAGAAAATATCTTTTGAAAAATTATTTCCTGGTATTTTCTTTATCACCCAGGGAGCTTCATTAGAGAAATAAAGCAAGGGTAGGTGCAGTTGACAACAAGAGAGGAATGGTGCTACTGAGGAGCTCTCTGATGAGGCAGCTTGCAGTTTCTCTGTGTAGTAGAGTACCTCTGACTTGCAAGGAGACAGGCCTGGCATCTGCCTCAAGAGCGACATATGGCTGGTGTTAAGCACCGTCAGTGCCCGCAGAGGGAGCCTGTGCAGATCCAGGACAGGAAGAACGTGAACGCACAGACTGTAGGGAAATCTGGCATTTTCCCACATCGGTGTGCTTCTGCTTGTGAGGTGTGGCAGAAGCAAGGAGAGCAAACTGGTTCTGCATGATTTTTATGGCAGGCTCTTCCTCCTCTTTCCTTGCCCCTCCCCAAAGCCACATCCTGGGAGTAAAAACTCTTCCCTTGCCCTTGTTTTGGTTCTGCTTTGTCTTCGTTTGATCATGGTAGTGGCTACATTGTGCATTTCTTTATCTGAGGAGAGTAAAATCAGGCAACTAAAACTCACAGCTTTTCATAGTAACCAGGCATTGCCTTTCAAAATACCTAAAAAGCTTATTCCTTTTTTCTCTCTTACAAGTCAGGGCACATGTTAAAACACTGTTTCCTCACAGTACATAAAAAGCCTATACTATTTCTACCCAGGATCCTCTGGGGGCATTCAAACATTACGTCAAATGATTTTATTTTAAAACTACTTACTGTCATCATGCCGTCCAAAAGACCAGTCTCAGGCCTAGGTGGGGCCTGCAGCCTTTCCATGGACCACCTCTCGATGATGGATGATACGTGCGGATTGTCTATGTTGAGCAGCCGGAACCCAGTCATATTCACTCCACTGTACCTGTAGAGCTCTAGATCTAAAGCAAATAAGTCCTGTGCAGCATTGAAAATGACAAAAGTAGAAATGGATCAGCATTTCGGTGTTTTGTATGCAAAAGGAAATTGATGATCACAGAAGCAACAGTTATGACACCATGTCTATAAAAACATTTCTAATTGTTCCTCATTCCCATTGCTACCTGAGAAAGCAAGGCAGTAAACAGTTTCCATTTCCTGCAATACTATTAGTTTGGATAAATCAAGAAGAGGAACTTGGATGCCAATAATTAGTCAATCCCTGGGGACAAGAGATGACATTCTGAGAGGTGATAATTCTCTCCCTAGGATGTAATCTTTGGGGAGTTTGAAGGGATCTTTGTATGTATTTGATTCAATACTTTTCTTTTATAGAAGACAAAAATAAAGTCCTTAGTGGTGAAATGTCAAGGCCAAGAATGAACCACTAATTGTTTGCAGCATCACCCTTCTCTGTCACATCTCGCTGCTTCTGGACTTTGCCATGGAGGTGCAATTTGGAAATTGCATTTGTACATGTGTGAACAGGAGGATCATTCCTAGCAGGAAACAATACCATCCTTTTGGCTCACTCATTTTCCTTACAAATGAAAATAAAGAATGTTCACTGAGCAGGTACTCAGAATAAGAACCAAAAGGGCTGCTTCAGGGGATAAACTGGGTCATACTGTTGTAGGGCTCTGAGAACATCTTAAGAGTAGAGCTCATTCTCTTTCAGACAATGTTTCAGGGAAAAAATATTTAACCCGCACCCGAGTCTCCTATAGCAGATGAGACTGGGTAAAAACAAGAAGTCGTCTACAACTTAATTTACAACTCCCTACATTGTCTTCCTTTCCCTAGATAATTTTTGGTCTATGCAGTAAAACATAAGAAAGCAGCTCTGTTCTTTCAGTTCAGTATCAGAAAAGCTATACTGACTGCCTTTTTATGAGTTAGATATATTTCTCATTTGTACTAAGTCACTAATTTTTTAAAAAGTTGTTTTTACTTAGACACAAGAATAGTAAGAATATAAAAGTTATACAGGAAAGAGTGTGAGTGAAACTGTAGGAAAACACCTAAAGCACATTTAAAGAATAAGGCCTGGGAAAGAGTAACTTTCTCAGCAGCAATCTATCAACTTTTGAGCAACTTTTGCTCTCAATCAACAGAGCACATGTTATTCAAACTACACAGATACTTCATAGAACTTCCAGCATACACATAATATGTAAATTTGACATGCTAAAATCAATATATTAATCCTGTGCAAAGTTAGTTTGCCCCCAAATTTGAAGTTTCAATGTAAAACAGGGTATAAAAAAATCCAAGATCTGATTAGTGAAAAAAGCAGGAGTAAAGGGAGGATAGGAATAAAAAGTGTACAATTTATTAATCCCTGAGAGCCTCCTTTGACAGTATTTCTTTTTCTTTTCTATTTCTTTTTTTTTTTGACTTCAATTCTTTTATTGGTACACTTTAGGTATACAACACGTTTACATTTATCCTTGGGTGCTTGTACCTGTACATGATGCATCTTGGTTCTTATTTTTTCCCCATTCCCTGTGCGCCCTTCACCCCCTCCACTCTTCCCTATTTACATAGACTTCGTTTCCATTTTTTTCTTTTCTCACAATTTTTCCTTTCCCTTCTTTAGTATTTCTAAGTTCTACTGTTCATGGTTTTTCTCAAATTGTTTCAAAACCACCTCTTCAAAGTGGGTACAGCTGGGGCTCGTAGAAAGTTCTGAGGCTGACGGCCGCATCACTCTAATCAGGGCATGAGGCAAGGGGTACTTTGGGGAGCAGAGTAAGACACTTAACGGCTCCCCACATCACCCTCAGTTGTTCTTTTTTGTTCTTTCTGTGTCAGGTAATTTGGGTTTTTAAAAAATTTTTAGTGTTTTTTATCAGTACATGATTGCAATACCCAATGACTACACTTACTATGGCGAGTTTGAGCAGGTACCTAACACATTTTAATTCTTTTTGTCCCCTTCCCTCCTCTCTCTCCCTATTTCAAATTTAAATATCACATGCTTTCTCTCACATGAGGAACTCAAAGTATAAAGAAAGAGCAAAATAAATGATAGAAAATAGGAAGCAGGGGGATCTTTTTCAAATGCAAAGGGAGCAAGACATGGAACAGGGAGGGAAGGAAGGGAAAATGATTTTTCACACAAAAAAGAGTGACTAAAACAAACCAAGAAATGCAAATAGATCCCTCAGCAGTCGTGAAAGAGAAAACAGCGAGGACAGCAGGAAGACAGACAGAGGATCATGGAAACCTCAGTGTAGGAAACTGCACATTGCACCCCACTTTCCTCTGCTTAGCAGCAGCTGACTGCAATGAGGACCCCTCAGCTCATACTCTCAGGGACACTGGGATCAGCCATGAGACTATTTTTGCCAATAGTAGGAGTACGACAGCTCCTTGGTCCTTGTTACAGATTTTTTGATTCCTCACTCACCAGCTTAGCTTGTCAATTTCATTTACTAAAACCATTTGGGTAGATTTTCATTGAAACACCCCTATGGACTAGAGAAGGAGGCTGATTCTGTGTTTTCTTCTCATGTAAGAAATGGAGTGTGTGGGTGTTGGAGGGAGTGGGCGATGTGTAAGCGTATGTGTGTGTATGTGGCTGATTTGTGAAAATGACTGAATGAGAACTATCACATCATTTTGGCTTATTAAATGCCCTATGTAGTTCTCTCTTGATCCAATCATCTCTCAGAATTTAGTGTGTTAGAGTTTCTTTTGGATTTCTTAAGTTTAGAACCATGTTTTTTCTTAAACATTCAATGTGCAGGGTGTCTCCCACTTTCGTGTCCTTGACAGATTCCAAGCACCTGTCAGGTGACTCCTGGGTGAGCCCAGCTGTCCCTGGACACAGGCAGGAAAGCCATATCAGATCAAAGATTGCCAAGGCACACTTCAGTGCGCTTTCTAATGGTTATAGAAATTATAGATGATGCTTGTGTAGGAATAGTTTGTGCTTTGACAGTTTCTATTTAATGGAATTTTATCCCTTTCTGGTTACACACACTGATGCCAGTTGAAAAAAAAAAAAAAAGAAGCCTGCTGTTCAGCATTGCTGGATTTAGAAGACAATATCCTGCCTTTGACATTGGAGGGGCTGACTTTGAAATAGTGTAGGGAGATGTTTCCTATCCCGTGGAATCCATTTCTACAATGGTGTGCTTACCAAGGTTGTGAAAAAGTAGTGGTAGTATTCAGTCATCATGCCCATGAACAAAATCTGCAAAAGAGAAATAAGGAGGAAAGAGTCAGAATTATAATAATAGATCACTGCTGTAGTAAGGTGGCTGCAAAAGCCTGGGAACAGAACCAGAAGGGGTTTTAGAAATCCACAGACCTGGCAGACCAGACTTGAGGCCAATTAGTGGCTGGCATGGAGCAAGGCCACTGGCCTCCACCACACTATTTTCATTACACCTTGTTTGACTTTCATGGTATAATCCACCTAATGGTCAAATTTAAAAATAGTTTATACCCAACAAATTTTATATTTATACTTGTCCATAAAGGCACAGGATTTGTCTTTCTCATTGCCTAGGTTTCCAAACAATTCTGTTTACAAATACTTCCCATTATTTCTTAGTCTTGGAACTTAGCATGATGTGTCCCTCAGAGTAGAACTCATTAAATGCTGGAATGGCAATGCTAATATGTAGACATTTAAATAACTAAGTATATCTCTGAGACCTTTCTCTCTACTCCTTTCCCATCTTATGTTACAAAAGGAGTAAAGGAAGAGAGGACATTTATAAAGGATGTTTATAAAAGATATTGACTATTTTTATACCTATTTCACACTGTCTTTCGATTCTGATTCTCAGTTATCTCAGTTGTGACCTTGATAGGTCCAAAAATTTTGTGAGTGTGTATATTATCTTTACTTTGTGAGGGAGAGGAGATGGAGGTCACTAGAGAGGCCAGGGGCAGTATATAGAGGTCATTTATTAAACTATGGATCTCACTTCTGACTCCTGTAAACGGTGTCAATACAGCAGAATGAAGTCGCAAATAGCCTTCTACGTCTTCTGAATAAGAGTATCACCTTCCTGTGGCAGGTCATCAAAGGGACTACTTGAGTCCTATTTTTTAGGCCTTGTGTACAAATGAATGAAGAAGACTCTTAAATTTCTAAAGCAGTTTTTCCACAACTGTGATCATTTCTAAGTATAAATTAAATTCCTCTTTGGAAGTTTTTCACAAAGTTCCTCTTTTTTTTTGTACCAGGAATCGAACTCAGGACCTTATGATTACAAGGCAGGCAGCAGAACCACTGAGCTAAATCCCCGCCCCTTGGAAGTTTTTGAATCAGATGTTCTTAGGTGTCTTTACAAAGATATTCTGTACTGGAATTTCTGTGAGAGGAGCCTGTAATAATTGAAAAGCACTGTCATATGCATTAAAGAACAGAGACTTTTGGAACTTAGACTGAAGAAATGTATTTGAAATATCTGGGACAGTGGCAACAGAAGTTATCAGAGATCCTAGAAAGTACCTAAAATATGCAAACTAGAATGATTTCACATGAAAACAAGGAATGAAGAGGGCACTCAGTAACAGCAAAGAACAAAGCATGAACACTAATCAGACACCTAACATCATCTCTGATCACATGGAAGCCAGAAGAATATTTGTTGAAATTGTCATGTCATGAAGGGAAGACAAGTGATGACAAACTCTCACTATGAATCATGAGCCAATAGCATGTAAATCACTCCTATGATGATAACGAGACCAGGTGCACAAAAGGATTTTTAAAAAGTAGACTTGCTTTAGGATCATCAATAACATTTAAAGCCATGCATGGTAAGGTCTTGTTAGCTGGTCTTCTATCACTCACGCATATACAGCTGGTCAGCTAGGGTCATTAAGGAATCCAATTTTTCACTTTGGTCATTAGAGAGTGTGTTTGCAGCCTAGATGACTACCCTTTGAAAGGAAGCTACTTAAGTTTTATATTAAGTTATAGAGACAGACACTAAGGTTTAAAATAGTGTTTCTGGATTTAAAAACGAAATACAAAGGCATCCACGTTTACAGCTTTCATGTAGATGATTTTCTTTTTAAACTTCATTATGGAAACCTTCTATTCCTTGTTGAGAGTGTAAGCACTTAAAAAAAAACCCAGACATTTAACTCATTATTTTTATTATTATTTTTATAATTCCTGGAGGCAAATATTCATTTGATATTCCTCTTATTCAGTGTTTGAAATGAGATATGAAAATTCAGAGAATAAGTAGCCGAAGGGCTTGCTTTTATTACAGAAAGAGCCTTCCAGATACTATTTTTATTTGCTATCCCAGAAAAATTTTTGTTCTCTTTCATAGTAGTCGCTTGGATCAGTGCATCCTGGTTCTCCCTTGATTTTCCTAGCAATAGAAATCAAGAAACAAGTACAGCCATTGATCATTTTCCTGTCAACTTTGTGGACACCCTAGGTTGAGGTGAATGAAAAACTTCTAGATAAGAACTATGAAGCCAGGAGCAGGAAAACGGTGCTTTTAAAATTGGCATTACAGTGTTGTGTAAGCTGCAGAGATCCACAACCCTGTCTTCTAATAGCAGCATATTTTATAAATGAATGTATTGCATTCACATTATGACTTTCTCTGTGTGTTGGTATTTCCACTAAAAGTCATTAAGGGATTAAGAAAATGTCACATCAGAATAAATGTTAGTTCTAAAAATAAAAAAAACTTACAATCATGATATGGAGAGTTTTCTAATAGTTCTTTGCAAAGCTGACTTTTTCCTGAGACTACTCTCTTTGAATTCCACTACAGTGTTTGTGCACTGAACTGACTAAGCAGGGTCATCAGAGGCAGGGGATATTCTTTACCTGGACAGTATTGTTAGGAAATATTTCTGGCACTATTTAAATCACTTTTCATGGCACAAAACATGCCATGTTCCACACCCTCTACTATGTAATAAATATGGCTACCCACACACTTCGTAATAGACAGCATATTCCCCTTAATTGCTTTCACGAATATGCTCTTCTAATAACGCTAGTTGCCTAATAGGATTGTTATTCTGAAATAATTTTTTGATGGCTGATCATTATTTAGATTGATAGACAGTAAAAACCCCAGTCTTTTCGATAACATTATGTATTTAAAATAGGGAGGGTGCTTTGTATCTACTGTTACTGAATTTGGAAGATCCCTTGTGTGGATATCATTAGTATTGATTGTCAATTTTGCAAGTCACAGGGCACATGATGAAATATATTTCGTGGCCTTCTGTGAGTATTTGGGGCCTGTGTGGGTTCTAGTGGGCCAAGTGAGAAAGATGTGACATTCACCGCTTTGCTGTCCTGGAATATGATATTGTGATCATCAGTGCTGGAACAAGCTGTTCTTCTGCATGTGGACATTTTTCTGTTTTGTACATACCAGGAGTCATGTAAGTGATCTCGTTTACAACTTTGCTTTGATTGCTACAAAGGTTAGGGTGAGATTTATGGGTTTTCCATTACCAAGTACTCGGGAACATCGAGTGTATCTTCTGTGTGGACTAATGTTATCCAGCCTTAGGTTTCTCTAATGTAACTTCTCCCTTTGTGCCAACTCCATATCCCTTTAAAAAAAATTTATCACTTGGTTTCAAGTGCGTTTTTTGGTAGGCTGTTCCAGTTCTTTATGGAATAAAAATACTACAAATAAATAAAGAAATATTCAGCTTGTTTCAACAAGCTGAATAATTTCCTCTTCCATAAGAAGAGGATCTGGTGTAAATGGGTTAGGTTAGTACAAGAACAAAGATTTCCAACAAAAACTTTTTTTTTTTTTTTTGCCTCTGACCCCAAAGATCACCACTCATAGTAAATTTTACTCTGTATTATGGCAGAATCAAACATAAGAACACAAAAGAGAACAATACCAAAAGATGTAAAGTCCTGTACACACAACATTCCATTCTACCTAGGGAAGAAAATCCTTAATTCAACCAGGAGAAGTGTGGTTTGTACCTAAGGCTTTCTTTCTATTATGCTACTGAGCAGGAAAATGCCACTCTTTGCTTCACTGACTAGAAAATAATTATTGCTTTCTTTTACTTGTAGTGAGAGTGGATCTGCAGAACGCAAATTTAAAACTCAATGCCGATTGGCTCTGGAAAGGACAATTCTAATGATCTTACTGGTATCTACATCCCCTGGGACAGTTATTGTGTATTAATAAAGGCGATCCCACATTAGTCTGTGCTGCTATCTGAAGTTCCTGCAATCCTCACAAACCTTGTTCACACTTTAGCACTGAGACTCCTTGGTCTTGTCTTGCGGTTCTGGACAATGGCCTCTATGTCCGTCATCTATTTTGATGGATAGTTTGTCACATACAGCCTGAGAAGCAGCAATTTTGGTTTGCAAATTCTCACTGGGGTCTAGGTAAAGATAACCAAGACAGAGGTCATAGCTTCTAATGCCTGTGTTGGCTGCAGAATCCACCTAGGAGATAGCTGGAAAGTCTTTCCACCAAAATATTTCATCAACATAGCCAAGCATCTTCCAAAGCACGTGTGATAGCTCAACCTGATCATTTCCTAGAAAGCAAGGCAGTGCTATGGAAACAGCAGGAAAAGAATTCCCCCCCACAAATTCTCAGCACCCATTGTTGGGAGCACTCCACATGCCAGAAATAATTGGCATTATGCTGCTATTATAGTAGCAAAACTCAAAATTGAACCTGGAGTTTTCCAGGGCAATTTTGAGGTGTCCTTGTAATATTTATATGGGCTTTTAGTATGGCTTTTTCCATTGAAAAATTGGTGTCTTAAAAGTTTATGTTGACTAACCTGAAGTCTATTGCTCCTTTTATAGCCTTCTCAATATGAGGATAAATTCTAAACCATAAGACATGGTTTCTAGTCAATAATTTCAAGTGAATAACTTCCAAGTGCACAACATGCAATGTGGCTAAAATAATAGTTTAACCTCAAGATAGAAATAAGTTCATTCAGCATAAGAATGTCCAGGACACCAGCTGAATTATTTCAAGTCTGAGAGCAGTAATTTTAAGGTGAAATTTTTAGCTCCAGGGTATAGTTCTTTCTTCATTTGCCAGCTGTGGTGTATGTGACTGCACTCACACAATCTGCTCAATAGGGTGCTTCTTTGGCCATACAATTTTTAATATCGATCTTCAGTAGAAGAAGCTAAGTATAAGTAGGTCTTTGAGTACATCTTTATTGTCAAAAATTATTCCATATTGAATAAAT